AGAGCTGCTGTTTCAGATAACACAGAACTCAGAGTTCAGATTAGTTGATTATAGTCAACTCATTTCACAAGATATTATCAGCTGTGACTGTGAGATCTCTCATTGAAAATATCTTCAATCTCTCACTCAAGCTCATTATCTTCTTCTATAATGCCTGACAGCTGTCAGTCAGAAGTCAGCTGAGAAGAGAATAAATCAGTGACAGTGTGATGAAGCAAGCTTGTATAAAATATATTATGAATTTCTGATGATGTGTTAAAACAGTAGTTATAGCTATCTAGAACTTCTATCACTTTATATCTGATGTGATGATAGTCTAGTATATGAGATGAACATGTGATTCATATATTCTTGAGATTCAATTATACAAGATCTTCTATCTTATACTGCTCTGTAAGATCTTATCAGATATTGATTTAATCTTCTTAATCTTGTTTTATGATTATTATAAAGATCTTCACTCAGTTGCAGATGTCTCAGAGCTTTATTACTATATTATCAGTAATCTGAATTGAACTGCAGAGATTCAGTGTGAACTGTGTGATCTCTAGAAGATTTAACACTTTTATATAGTATCTGTGTATAAGAAAGAACAGGCTTATATCTGTTGAAATAACATCTTGATCATTAATAGTGATCTCTGTGTGTAGAAGAAGATCATGTCAATCATCTTATAAGTAGTTGCAGAACTTATAAAGATAATTCTTTACAGTCTGAATTGTCTGTTCTGATGCATTATCAGTCTCAGAGTGATAGATAGTTAATAGATAGTGTATAATCTTAAGAACTTGACAGATTCTTATTCAGAGAGTGCTCATGAATTAACAGCTCTGATTCAATACTATTGATCTCAGTAATTCATGCATCTGATTAGACTGGCCGCTGAAATCATGAATTTCACGTTTGATCTCATTTGATCTGATCTCATACATTTCTTGGCGTGAATCCCGCTGGGACTGGCTATCAAAAAAACAGGTAAAGTAACTATATATCAGATCTTAAAATGGAACCATGACTTGAAAAAAATGAGAAAGTGATCTCATTTGATCTTATTTAGTCCCATTCTTAGCATAAAGTTACTATTTTTAGACATTTTAAGGTTTTTTTTAGACTATTTTTAATTTTTTAAAAAGTAACACTTTTTGATAACACTCAAATGAGATTTAAAGTCATTTAAAGCAATAAAAATAATTTAAATTGAGAAGTGGAAATCATGATCTCATTTGAAAAATGTGATAAGAGTAGACAGTAAGTTTCACTGAGACAGTATGAGACTACTATCTAATGTTAAAACCGTGTAATGAGATCAGTCGAATTGATAATGAGACTATTAAAAAATCTGGTCCTGGTCTCAGACACGGTCACACGGTCAGTCTACATCTGATAGAATGAACTTTGTAAGAAGGCTTTAATAACTTGTTCAGTGTTCATCTTATCACAAGATTTCAATATTATATTCTTACTTAGTCAGTCAACAATGATCAGAATGTTTCTGCAGCTCTTACTCTTAGATAGATTAACAGTGAAGTTAATTACTACATCTTATCAGATTCTATCAGAGATATTAAGTGATTTCAGTAGATCTTTTCTATGATTCTTTCATAAGATAATAGAAGAACAGTGATTACAGTTTTAAATAAAGTATCTGATACTGTTTAATATTTCAGATTAGTAGAATTCTCAGAAGATCATTCTATACAGTTGTTTACAGTCTGAATAATCAGTTATATATAAATTATATATCTCTTGCATTATCTGAGTATGTAAGGATTCAGAGTGAGAGACTCAGCATTGTTCATGAAATCATAGAGTATTATTATCATCAATTGAGCATTCTGAGATATTAGTTCTTATACATAGTTCTGAGAGAAATCAGAGTGTTTCTTGATATACTGCTTCAGTGAGAGTCTGAAGAAGTTCATCAGCCTGAGCTACTGTATATCACAGTTCATTCAGTGTAGAGAAAGTGAAGATATCAATATCAGTTCTAATCAGAGAAGTATGTATAATGTCATGAGCTATTTCATCTTGATTAATTAATATCTTCAGATTCAAGAGCTGATGCTCTTGATTCATTCAGTAAGTATCTATTACATTAGATAATATATCTTACTCTCATTATAAGAGAGTATCTGTCATTGAGTTCTGACTGTCAGAACAGTAGTGTATTATAAAATGAAAGTGACTTAGAAACTCAGATTATTATATCTATTATTTAATAAGTTTACAGATAGTTGTGAAGTATTTGAGATTCTTATAATCTATAACTATCTCAAATTTAAAGATACTTTGAAGTTCAGAGTCTCATTCTTCTAAACAGTGTACAATTATAAGAAGTTTCTTATCATAGATCTTATAATTACATTCAGTGAGACTCAGTTTCTTAGATATGAAGATATATAATTGTAGAACATCTTTATCATCATATTATAATATCACTTCTTCTATCACATAGTCAGAGAAATCAGCTTTAATAACTATCTCATGATCAGAATCAAATGTTATCAGCAGAGAGATATTAATGAATATCTTTTTTATCTATGTAAATGCAGCTTCAGTATCTGCTAATCATTGAAATACTGAGTCTTTCTTAGTGAGATCTGTAAGTGATCTTACAATATCTGAGAAGTTTCATATAAATCACTGATAGAAGTTAGTAAATTCAATGAAGCTTCATATATCTTTCACAGTATATAAAGCTTCTCATTCAAGAATGACAGAGACTTTCTCAGAGTTTATTCAAATTCTCTTATCAGCTTCTATAATAAAACTCAGATACTTGATACTCTTGACTTTAAAATCATACTTATCAATATCTATCAGTAGTTCTGCTTCTTATAGCTATTGTAATATCTTTTATACATATTCTTGATATTCTTTTCTGAATTCATCAGTGAAGATGAGAATGTCATCTAAATAAGCAGATACAAACTTATTAAGAAAATCTTAAAGTGCTCAGTTGATATACTTCTGAAATGTACTGAGAGTATTAGTCAATTCAAAGAGTGTGACTATTCATTCAAAGAGACTATAATATATTTAAAATGCTGTAAGTTATTCATCTTCTTCAGTGATACAAATCTTATAAAATGCAGTAATGATATCTAGTTTTATAAATCATTGAGCTCATCTGATCTGTGCTAGAGTTTCATTGATAAGAGATAAGAGATATCAATCTTTCTTTGTCAATCTATTCAGATCTCAGTAGTTCACACAGAATCAGAGTTCTTCATCTGATTTCTTTACAAAGAGAATAGAGACTGTGATGAAAGAGTTACTAATATATATAAATTCTTTATTCAACAGATCATTGAGTGTCTTTCAAAGAAGAAGAAGTTTATCTTAGAACATATTATAAAGAGAGTCTCATAGCAGTTCAGAGTTCTTATCATTCTTTTTTTCTAATTTAATACTGTGATTCACTTCAGAACCTCATAAGAAGAGTATATTTATAATATTATCTTATCAGAAGATATCTAGATATTCATGATATTATTGAGAGAGTTTTATACAAGAATCTGTTATTATAATATAAGATAACTTTTCTAAAGTCTTTTTAATATCAGCTAGACTAGTAGAATAGATTAATATATAATTCTACTATCAGTGAACTTATCAGTGACTCTGTTAATAATTTTAATAATGACTTCTTTTTCAGAGTATTTTATATGCATTGACAGAGATCTGTGTTAAGTTCATAATCTTATAAATGTCATCTTTGTAAACTCTATTATTGTTAGAAAATATCAAGCTTCTATTTCAAGTGTTTAATAAGATGTCTTATTCAGATAGTCAGATAAGTTCTAATATAAAATTATAATCAAGATTATCAACTTTATATGTATAGATATTCTCAGATTGATATTCTCTTATATCTATGATCAGCTTTATTATATAACAGATATAAATATCTTTCAGATCATCAAATTCTGTAAGAAGTTAAGGTTTTGATAAAGAGATACACTGAAGATTATAATATCTTATAACTGAAGATTTTATCATTGTATAGTGATATAGACTGCTGTCTATCATAGCTTTCATATTATACATATTATTAATCAAAGTAGATATAAGAATCATATTTATTATTATCTTCTCTTTAAATTACTGTCATCTAATCTCTTCAAGCTTCTGTTTACAAATTTGAACAGAAGCTAATCTTTTCTCTATTTCACTAAGATATTCTTATAGTTATTCTCTGAATCTTTCTCTGATGTAATATAATTGATGCAGACAGATGCTAATTCATTCTTTGAATAAGAAGACACTGATCTTTCTCTTGAGTATGAAAATATATAGATTGATCAGCAGTTGAAAGTAATATATTCTAATCAGTTATAGTTAATGCACATTTCATATTAATATTAATCAGTAATTTCTTCAGAAGTGATCTCAGAAACTCAGAAGCCTGTTTAAACAGTGAAAACTCTTGCTTATATATAGATATTTGAATCTATTCAGTTCATAATCTCTGCATTATTATTCTTCAGTGCAGATGTATAAGTAACTGAGATGTAATGTCTTCTATCACTGTTCTGTATACTCTTGAGCTTGATAAGACAGTCATTCAATGTTCAGAGCTGTGTGCAGAAGCCTTTATAAGTTAGGTCTTCATCTATGCTTATAAGAGCTTATAAGAGTTTAAAAGTCAATGTCTTCTTGAGCATGCTAATCTTCATTTAATTCTTTTAAAATTAATCATCTACTTCTAGAATCTTGATATTGAAGTCAGAAATAAATGTTATAAGAGAAGTGTTTCTCTGTCAGATACTCTGTAATCAATCTAATACTTTCTGTTACATGACAGTGTCTTGAAACAGAATATCAAGATATTTTATAATGTTATCAGGTGTTCATAACACTGATTTACATACTTTCATTCATGAATGAAACTTCTGTTTTATATAATTCTTCAATTATTCATTGATATATCAATCTTGATTGATTAATGAACTGATGAAATCTTCATTTACACTCAGTTTCACAAGCATTTCTATTCTTTATGATGAGTAGAGAGTGAGATCAGAAGCATTAAAATATGCAGAAGCATCTAAGTGTTCTTTCAGCGCTTTTGTATTCAATTCTGTAGATATTGAAATTGCATGAGTTTCTTGTTGTGATTGTAGTTTCAACATTGCTCGGAGCCACTGTGGCACTGCGTCTATGCTCATGTTCAAGAGTTTCATATTATCATTAGACATGGTTATATCGATCATCAGATGTATGATATCTGTGAAAGTGTAATCGTATTCTCATACATCTGAGTGTCAGGACTCTCGGGTCTTTCACTGATATTCTCTTATAAGATTTTATTCTCTTTGTAAGATCTTGTTACAGAGTCAGAGTAACTGGCAAGCAAGCTTCTATCTGAGAACTCAGTGTCTGCTTAACTGTGTGACTGTTTCTCTATTTCTTATGCATTGTTACACGTCCGGATATCTCTTGATGAATAATTGTTTCTGATGAGAAGATGATGCATGAATAATTATTTTCTAATAAGAAGATAATGAATGTTTTTATAGTGTAAGAGGCATACACTGAATAGATTGATATAATATTATAGATCTTATATAACAAAGATAAAAATGTTAGAGAAGGAAAGAAAGAGAAAGTATGAGAATCAGTGATCAAGGTGGATATTTATACATGTATGTGGTGGTGTATGTGGTGGAGCTTTGAGAGGGAAGAATATACATGTGTTCATAGTGGCTGAGAATCGGTGATCAGAAATGGCTGAGAATCAGAGCATATGCTACGCATGTTTGTAGCGGCTGAGAATTGGTAATCAGGAATGGCTGAGAATCGGAGCGTACGCTACGCGTGTTCGTAGCAGCCACAGATCAGCGATCGGGAATGGAAGAATCTATGAAGTGTAATGGAATAGTCTATATGATTGATCGGGCGCAGCCCGCCACAATAAGACCTATAAACATTATACTGATCTATTCAGTATAGGCCTCTTACACTTGAAAAACATTCATCATCTTCTCATTAGAAATGATTATTCATTAAGAAGATATCTGAATGTGTAACAATGTGTAAGAAAGAGAAACAATTAGTTAAAGTAGATACTGAGTTCTCAGATAGAAGCTTACTCATCAGTCACTCTGATCTCATAATAAAATCTTATAAGAGAATGTCAGTGAAAGACTTAAGAGTTCTGACATCTCAAATGTATGAGATATTCATATAATTACACTTCTTCAGATACTATAGATATTATACATTCAACAAACAATATAATCATATCTAATGATAATATAAGAGAACTCTTGAATACAAATATAGAAGTGATATCACAGTGACTCTGAGTAATATTGAAATTACAACAGTAACAGATAGCTGATATGCATATAACTTAACAACTTTAATATGAGAAAATTCAACAATTAACTTAACAAGAAACTCATGCAATTTCAACATTTACAGAATTAAATACAAAAGTGCTGAAAGAATGCTTAGATACTTCTATATATTTCAATATTTCTGATCTCACTCTCTACTCATCATGAAGAATGAAAATGCTTGTAAAACTGAGTGTAAATGAAAATATCATTAGTTCATTAATTAATCATGATTAGTATATCAATGAATGATTGAAGAATCACATGAAATAGAAGTTTTATTTATAAATAAAGATATATAAACTCATGTTATAAATGTCTGATAATATCATTAAATATCTTGATATTCTGTTTCAAGACACTGCTATGTAATATAAAGTATTAGATTGATTACAGAGTGTCTGACAGAGAAACACTTCTCTCATAACATTCATCTCTGACTTTGACACTCAGATCTTAGAAGCAGGTGATTGATCTTGAGAGAATTGAATGAAGATTAGCATACTCAAGAAGACATTGACTTTTGAACTCTTACAGACTCTTATAAGTGTAAATGAAGACTTAACTTATGAAGGCTTCTACACACAGCTCTGAACATTGAATGACTATCTTATCAAGCTCAAGAGTATACAGAACAGTGGCAGAAGATGTTACATTTCAGCTACTTATATATCTGCACTGAAGAATAACAGTAATAATACAGATGTCATGAACTGAATAGATTCAAATGTCTATATATAAGCAAGAGTTTCTGCTGTTTGAACAGACTTCTGAGTTTCTGAAATCACTTCTGAAGAAGTCACTGACTAACATTAATATAAAGTATATATTAACTGTAACTGATCAGAATGCATCACTTTCAACTGTCAATTGATCTATATATCTTCTCACTTAAAGAATGAATCAGCATCTGTCTGCATTAACCATATTGCAGTGAAGAAAGATTTGAAAGATAACTATGAGAATACTCTGATGAAACAGAAAAAAGATTAACTTCTGTTCAAATTTGCAAACAGAAGCTTGAAGAGGTCAGATAATAGTAATTTGAAGAGAAAATGACAATGAATATAGTTCTTGTATCTACTATGATTGATAATATGTATAATATAAAAGTCATAATAGACAGCAGTCTATGTCACTATACAATGATTAAATCTTCAGTTGTAAGATGTTATAATCTTCAGTATATCTTCTTATTAAAACTCTGACTTCTCACAGAATTTGATGCTTTAAAAGATGTTTGTATCTGTTACATGATGAAACTAAATATAGATGTTGAAGAACATTAATATGAAGATGTCTATACATATAAAGTTAATAATCTTGATTATAATCTTATGTTAGAACTTATCTAGCTATCTGAACAAGGTATCTTATTAAATACTTAAAACAGAAGCTTGATATTCTCTAACAATGATAGAATTCATGAAGATGATATTTACAAGACTATGAATCTTACACAGATCTCTGTCAACACTTATAAAATGCTCTGAAAAAGAAGTCATTATTAAAATTACTGTCAGAGTTGCTAATAAAATCACTGATAACAGAATTATATATCAATCTATTTCATCAGTCTGACTGATATTAAGAAAGCTCTAGAGAAGCTATTTCATACTGTAATAACAGATTCTCATACAAAACTTTCTTAATAATATTATGAATATCTAGATATCTTCTGATAAGATAATATTATGAATTTATCTCTCTTACAAGATTCAGAAATAGATTACAGTATTAAGTTAGAGAAGTAGAATAATAAGAACTCTGAATTATTATAAGGTTCTCTTTATAATATGTCTTGAGATAAACTTCTTCTTCTTCAGAAGACACTCAATGATCTATTGAATAAGAAATTTATATATATTAGTAACTCTTCTACTGCAGCTTCTATTCTCTTTACAAAGAAATCAGGTGAAGAACTCTGATTCTGTGTAAACTATTGAGATCTGACCAGATTGATAAAGAGAGATTATTATCTCTTACTTCTTATCAATGAAATCTTAGCATGTATCAGATAAGCTCAATGATTTATAAAGTTAGATATTATTACTGCATTTTATAAGATTTGTATCACTGAAGAAGATGAATAGCACCCCGGTGACTGAATGATTAATGCGGCCACCCGGTAGCGCCTTGGCGTGGGAAACCAGGGCGTGTGAGTTCGAAACCCGCAGGGGATACATTAAATCCGGAACTCAAGCACCTCAGATTTCTAATAAATACAGAGGTGTAAAAATCGCTTCAATAAATCGCTCTATGTTCCTGAGCTGGTGTAAGAGGCCTGCGCCGAATAGATCAGTATAATATTATAGGTCTTATATAACAAAGATAAAAATGTTAGAGAAGGAAAGAAAGAGAAAGTGTGAGAATCAGCAATCAAGGTGAATATTTATACATGTATGTGGTGATGTACGCGGTGGAGCTTTGAGGCGGAAGAATATACATGTGTTCATAGCAGCTGAGAATCAGTGATCAGAAATGACTGAGAATTGAAGTGTACACTACACATGTTTGTAGCAGCTGAGAATCAGTGATCAGAAATGACTGAGAATCAGAGTGTATACTATTTGCATTTATAGCAGCTGTGAATCAGCAATCAGAAATGAAAGAATCTATAAAGTGTAATAAAATAGTCTATATAATTGATCAGACACAGTCTGTCACATTAATTCTCTCTTTTCAGAAGTAGTTCTCATTGATCAAGAGTCACTGTTTCAGATAATATGAAACTCAGAGTTCAGATTAGTTGATTATAGCTAACTCATTTCATAAGATATTATCAGCTGTGACTGTGAGATCTCTCATTGAGAATATCTTCAATCTCTTACTCAAGCTCATTATCTTCTTCTATAATGCCTGGCAGCTGTCAGTCAGATATTAGCTGAGAAGAAAATGAATCAGTGATAGTGCAGCAGAGCAAGCTTGTATGAAATATATTATAAATCTCTGATAATATGTTAAGACAGTAGTTATGACTATCTAGAACTTCTATTACTTTATATCTGACATGGCAGTAGTCTAGTGTATAAGATGAATATATGATTTATATATTCTTGAGATTTAATTATATAAGATCTTCTATCTTATACTGCTCTGCAGAATCTTGTCAGATATTGATTTAATCTTCTTAATCTTGTTTTACAGTTGTTATGAAGATCTCTGCTCAGTTATAGATATCTCAGAGCTTTATTATTATATTATCAGTGATCTGAATTGAACTGTGAGAGTTCAGTATGAACTGTGTGATCTCTAGAAGATTCAACACTTTTATATGATACTTATATATAAGAAAGAACAGGCTTATTTCTGTTGAAATAGCATCTTAACTGTTGATAGCAATCTCTGTGTATAAAAGAAGATCATGTCAATTATCTTATAAGTGATTACAGAACTTATAAAGATAATTCTTTACAGTCTGAATTGTCTATTCTGATGCATCATTGATCTCAGAGTGATAGACAGTTGACAGATAGCATATAATCTTGAGAACTTGATAGATTCTTGTTCAGAGAGTACTCATAAATTGACAGTCTCAATTCAATACTATTGATCTTGATAACTTATATATCTGATAGAATGAACTCTGTAAGAAGACTTCAGTGACTTGTTCAGTATTCATCTTATTATAAGATTTCAATATTACATTCTTACTTAGTCAGTCAACAATGATCAGAATGTTTCTGCAGTTCTTACTCTTAGATAGATTAATAGTGAAGTCAATCACTATATCTTATCAGATTCTATCAGAAATATTGAGTGATTTTAGTAGATCTTTTCTATAATTCTTTTATAAGATAATAGAAGAATAGTGATTGCAGTTTCAGATGAAGTGTCTGATACTGTTTAATATCTCA